GGCAGGGACCACCGGGGAAGGAGGGACCAGGAACAGGGGGGGAGTAACCGGGGGACCACGGTGAGGGAAGCGGTGGTAGAAGGAGACGGACTCGTCAAAGGTGACGTCGCGAGAGTGAAAGAAGCGGTGGGACGGCGGGTGGTAGAAGTGCCAGTCGGACGCGTCAAGGGGGAAACCGAGGAAGACGCAGGGGAGGGTGCGGGCAGTGAGCTTGTCCGTGCCAGAGGCACGAACGTGAGCAAGGCAGCCCCAGACGTGGAACGCAGACGCGTCACCAGGGGACCCGGTCCACAGAAGGGTCGGCGAAACCTGCGGCCGCTGGGGGTGCGGCCACAGGTTAAGCTGGTGAGCGGCGTAGCGCACGGCGAACGGCCACAGAAAATGGGGTGCACCGGCGTGGATCATGGAGGTGCGAGCCACCTCCATGACCAGACCGATGCGTCGCTCAGCGACCCCATTCTGCTGCGGGGAGTCCGGCAGGGTAAACGTCTGGGTGATGCCCTCCGCACGACAGAAGCGACCAAGGACACCTGAGGCGAACTCGCCACCCCGGTCGGAGTGGAGGCGCAAGGCAGGGAGACCGCGGTGGACACGAGCAGAGACAAGCCAGGGGATGAGAGCGTCAGGCACGTCGGCCTTCCGCTCCAGGGGAAAGACTGTGGTGTAGCGCGTGAAGTCGTCGACAAGCACTAGGAAGAAGCGCTCGCGACGCGGCCCATGGACCGGGGCTGGGCCCCAGACGTCCATGTGCAGAGTCTGCAGTGGTGCGGTGGTATGGGGAAAAGAGGAGGAGTGAGGGGCACGGCGGAGCCGGCCCTCGACACAAGGCGTGCACAGGGGGGCGGGGGAGGAGGGAAAGTCGGGGAACGAACCGGGGAGACCAAGGACGAGACCGTGCTGGGACATGTGACGCAGACGCGGGAGTGCAGGGTGACCAAGGCGGTGGTGCCAAAGGAGAGTCGGGTGAGTGAGGGACCGACAGGAGCACGCAGCAGCAACCTGGGTGGACGCAGCGACCTGGGGGGAAGACCCAGCCGGGGAAGTCGCGGTGTCAAGTGTGAACACGCCGGACACCGGGTCCCGGGGGAAAGTGGTAAGGGGGCACCAGTGGCGGCCTCGGTACAGACAGCATACCGCTCGTGACAAGGGAACGTAGTGGTGACGCCAAGGTCCTGGAGGCAGCCGACACCAACTAGGTTCCTGGAGAACGAGGGGATATGCAGACCGGTGAGCGAACCTGAAGGAACCGCCGGACAGGGAAGGGAGGTGGAACTGCGGGCAACGACGGGACCACCGGAGGGGTCAGCAAGAGTAACTGCGGCGGGAACAGGCAGCGGCGTCAGCGTCGTGGAGTCGCGGAAGAAACACCGGGAGGCGCCAGAGTCCAAGGTGAAGGAAAGCGCAGCAGTCGCGCAGGGCGGCAGTGAAGCGGTGGAAGCACCGAGGCTAAGCAAAGCAGAAGATCCTACGCCTGACGCAGCAGGGGAGTCTACGCTAGGCACAGCTACGCTAGGCAACACGGGGTAATAAGAGGGAAGCACACTAGAGTCATCAGCATACATCACATGCAAGGCTGCTACAATGGCATCCATGTCCAAGTCAAAAATCCGAATGCTACGCCTAAGCAAGCTGTGCCAGTCCGGGAGGTCGGGCGCCGGGCCAAAGCGCTGACGGAACAGGTCGTCCAGACGACGAAAACAGCGAGGAGTGGAATGACCGATCTTACCGCAAATGAAGCTGCGGCGAGGACCGGTCTGGATCTGGTACTGACAGGGCCCGCCTCCAGAACCACCACCCGGTGCACCACCACGCGCACGACCACCACCAGCTTCAGGCCACCCAGGCGGGAGAGCACTCGCCTGCCTCGTCTGCGGCGGCTGCTGCGGCTGCTGCGAAGGCTGCGGCTGCGGCGACTGCTGCTGCTGCTGCTGCTGCAACTGTGGAGGCAGGGGGGCAGCTGGACCGGGCAGGGTCCCACGTCTGCACCGGCACCGGACGACGCGACTCCACCACTACCCCACCCGCACCCCCGCCGCCTCCGCCGCTCCCAACCTTGGGGCGGCGGCCCTTCCCCGAGCGGGACTGCACTGCAGCAGCAGTCTCAGCCACAGCGACAGAGCCGTCGGAGAAGGTACACTGAGCGGGGGCACAACCCTGAAAGATAGGGACCGGTACTGTACCGCTCGCCTGGGCTATGGAGCGGTGACGAGTCTCTATGACAGTCAGGGTGTCAACAAAGTCGGTGAGGGTGAGAGCAGCGGGGTGGATGCTAAGGAACTGGTCGCGGGCGGCGGCAAGGCGGTCAGGGAGGCGGGTGGCAAGGAGGTAGAGGGTAGAGGTCATGGGAGGCTGGTGGACTCTAAGCTGTGCATCAGTGCAGGCAGCGCGCCAGGTCTCATCTATCGAGCGCAGGTGGGCAGCGAGGTCAGAGACAGTGGGGAAAGACGCAAGGTCAGGAAAGAGCAGGGGGAGGATCAGGCGACCCACCGAGGCAGCAGGAGGGGTAGAATAGCGCTTGATGACAGCATCGAGGTAGGCCTGGGCGGTAGTAATGGTTCTAAAGCGAGGGCGCTCAGGGGGGGGGAGGGCATTGCTAATGGCGAGCTGAGCAAGGGCATCGCGGGAAAGCCAGACAGAGCGGGCAAGGGCAGCGGCTGCAGTGGACTCGCGCTCAGCGGGCGTGGGATCAGCGGGCAGCACAGCAGGGGGGTCAGGGCAGGGGAGCATACCGTCTAGGTGGGCAGAAAGCGGGTGGCCGTCCTGCCGCTGACCAGTGAGGTGGCGGCGGAGGTCAGCCAACCACGCCTCGAACTCCAGAGGCTGACCCTCAGCATCAAAACGAAGCTCAGCAGCCATCAGGGGCAGTGTAGGACAGTGGAGTGCGGTGTAGTGCTGTGCAGTGCGGTGCAGGGCGGTGCAGTGCGGTGCAGGGCGGTGTAGTGCGGTGCAGTGCGATGCAGTGCGGTCCAGTGCGGTGCAGTGCGGTGCAGTGCGGTCCATTGAGGTGCAATGCGGTGCAAGGCGGGGCAGGGAAGTGCAGGAGGGTGCAAAGCGGTGTGGGGAAAGGGGGGACAGTACCAGGAAGTATGTAGGGCCGGGGCAGGCGCGACGGGACCGGGCAGGCGCGACGGGGCCGGGCAGGCGCGACGGGGCCGGGCCGGCACGACGGGGCCGGGCAGGCGCGACGCGGGGCCTGGCTGCTGCGACGGGGCCGGGCGGCAGCGACGAGGCCGAGCGGCTGCGACGGGGCCGGGCGGCTGCGACGGGGCCGGGCGGCTGCGACAGGGCCGGGCGGCTGCGACGGGGCCGGGCGGCAGCGACGGGGCCGGGCAGGCGCAACGGGGCCGGGCAGGCGCGACGCGGGGCCTGGCTGCTGCGACAGGGCCGGGCGGCAGCGACGAGGCCGGGCGGCTGCGACGGGGCCGGGCGGCTGCGACAGGGCCGGGCGGCTGGGACGGGGCCGGGCGGGTGCGACAGGGGCCGGGCGGCTGCGACAGGGGCCGGGCGGGCGCCACGGGGCCGAGCGGCTGCGACGGGGCCGAGCTGGGGCGACGGGGCCGAGCAGGTGAGACGGGGCCCAGGAGGGGCTCGACGAGGCCCAGGAGGGGCACTACAGGGCCCTGGAGGGGGTCGCAACGGGGCCCAGGAGGGGCGCGACGGGGCCCAGGGGCGCTATGGGGCCCAGGGAGGAGCGCGGCAGGGCCCAGGAGGGGCGCTAAGGGGCCCAGGGAGGAGCGCGGCAGGGCCCAGGAGGGGCGCTAAGGGCCCAGGAGGGGCGCGACGGGGCCCAGAGAGGGGCGCGACGGGGGCCTGGGAGGGGCGCTACCAAGCCCAGGAGGGGCGCGACGGGGCCTGGGAGGAGCACGACGGGGCCTGGAAGGAGCGCGACGGGGCCTGAGAGGAGCGCTACAGGGCCCAGGAGGGGCGCTAAGGGGCGCGACGGGGCCCTGGAGGGGCGCTACGGGGCCCAGGAGGGGCGCTAAGGGGCGCGACGGGGCCCTGGAGGGGCGCTACGGGGCCCAGGAGGGGCGCGACGGGGCCCTGGAGGGGCGCTACAGAGCCCAGGAGGGGCGCGACGGGGGCCTGGAGGGGCGTTACGAAGCCCTGGAAGGGGCGCGACGGGGCTAGGGGGGGAAGGGGGGGGGGGTCGCGACTGGGCTCAGGAGGGGCGAGGCTAGGCTAGGAGACGCGACGGGAGGAGCGGAAGCGGTAGGTGGGGGGGGGGGGGGGGTCGAAACCTACGCGTGATACCATAACAAACCTAGAATTGAATAATAAGAGAGAGAGAGTACACAAACATATACCTAAATGTTGTACTCTCTAGAAGGTGACCCTATACAGTCTATACAAACATGATAACTACACATGTTTGACACTAGGGGCACGACGGGGCTAGGAGGGGCGAGCGGAAGCGGTAGGTGGAAGGGGATCCTAACCTACGCGTGATACCATATCAAAATCAGAGAAGTGTTGTTGATAGAGTGAGAGTACACACAGATATACCTAAGTCTTGTACCCTCTAAGAGGTAACCCTATACAGTCTATACAAACATGACAAATACACATGTTTGACATCCTGCACCACCTTTCAAATTCTTCAGTTCCGTCGCTGAGTGGGGGCGGGCGTCGCATAGCCCGTCACCTCCCCCCAATCTCAAAATCACACCTCTCGGTTGGGTATTTGGTTACCGTGTTTCTGTCGCGCCCTTTTTCGTATGTAGTACACTCAAAACCTTTGAGTCTTGAGTTTGGTCTGTCCGCTCGCTTTAATCATATATCTATGGGTGCAGATATCTATTTACTAACACCATTACATAAGAGTTTCTCACGGTCGTACCATTTTCTCACAAGCACCTATCTCCCTCGCGCCTTCAAAAAAGTTGATTTGATAATGAAACAGTTAAGTTTGTTAGAAACAGACATGTAGACATGTGATTGTCGTGAAAGGAGTGGCTGAAATCTCAAGGTGGCTTGAGGTTGTCAGTCACACCCTCGCCACACACCACACAGCAGTTGCCAGCACATAGCAGTAGCCACCGCTCCGCGCCAGCCGAGCAGGGTTGTGCACACGAGGCCCATCCGTTGGGTCCAGGCCTTCACAGCTGGAAGCTCGGGTTCGTAAATCCGGGCGCGCGCGGACAGGCAGCCGTCGCACACCCTTCCTGAGGGCTCCTCTGCACTTGACGAAACGCCTTCACCACAGTGATCCGCGATCCAAGACTCCGGTGTCGGAATCGCGGCTGGAGCTGCAATCACGGCCGCGCGAGCGAGCAGCGGACGCCGCCATGGTGAGTCGCGATGGTCCGCGCGGGCCGTGTGGGCGCGGCGAGCCGGACAGCGCGCGTCCAGTGTCGACGCCACGGCCCTCCCCCTCGCTGCACCCCAACTCCGACAGGATTGGCCGCCGTGCGATCGTGGGCTGGGCGCAGGCTTGAAACGTCAGCGGAAGGGGCGGGGAGGAAAGGGTGGGCAAGTGGAAGAGAGGGGGGGAAAGGGAGGGCAATTGGCAGATATAGAGGGGGGGAAAGGGAGGGTAATTAGCAGAACGAGAGGGGAGGAAAGGGAGGGTAATTGGCATGAAGAGAGGGTGGGAAAGGGAGGGTAATTAGCAGAACGAGAGGGGAGGAAAGGGAGGGAATTAGCAGAACGAGAGGGGAGGAAAGGGAGGGTAATTGGCATGAAGAGAGGGCGGGAAAGGGAGGGTAATGAGCAGAACGAGAGGGGAGGAAAGGGAGGGTAATGAGCAGAACGAGAGGGGAGGAAAGGGAGGGTAATGAGCAGAAGGAGAGGGGAGGAAAGGGAGGGTAATGAGCAGAACGAGAGGGGACGAAAGGGAGGGTAATGAGCAGAACGAGAGGGGAGGAAAGGGAGGGTAATGAGCAGAACGAGAGGGGAGGAAAGGGAGGGTAATGAGCAGAAGGAGAGGGGAGGAAAGGGAGGGTAATGAGCAGAACGAGAGGGGACGAAAGGGAGGGTAATGAGCAGAACGAGAGGGGAGGAAAGGGAGGGTAATGAGCAGAACGAGAGGGGAGGAAAGGGAGGGTAATGAGCAGAAGGAGAGGGGAGGAAATGGAGGGTAATGAGCAGAAGGAGAGGGGAGGAAAGGGAGGGTAATGAGCAGAACGAGAGGGGAGGAAAGGGAGGGTAATGAGCAGAACGAGAGGGGAGGAAAGGGAGGGTAATGAGCAGAAGGAGAGGGAGGAAAGGGAGGGGTAATGAGCAGAACGAGAGGGGAGAAAGGGAGGGTAATGAGCAGAACGAGAGGGGAGGAAAGGGAGGGTAATGAGCAGAACGAGAGGGGAGGAAAGGGAGGGTAATGAGCAGAACGAGAGGGGAGGAAAGGAGGGTAATGAGCAGAACGAGAGGGGAGGAAAGGGAGGGTAATGAGCAGGACGAGAGGGGAGGAAAGGGAGGGTAATGAGCAGAACGAGAGGGGAGGAAAGGGAGGGTAATGAGCAGAACGAGAGGGGAGGAAAGGGAGGGTAATGAGCAGAAGGAGAGGGGAGGAAAGGGAGGGTAATGAGCAGAACGAGAGGGGAGGAAAGGGAGGGTAATGAGCAGAAGGAGAGGGGAGGAAAGGGAGGGTAATGAGCAGAACGAGAGGGGAGGAAAGGGAGGGTAATGAGCAGAACGAGAGGGGAGGAAATGGAGGGTAATGAGCAGAAGGAGAGGGGAGGAAAGGGAGGGTAATGAGCAGAACGAGAGGGGAGGAAAGGGAGGGTAATGAGCAGAAGGAGAGGGGAGGAAAGGGAGGGTAATGAGCAGAACGAGAGGGGACGAAAGGGAGGGTAATGAGCAGAACGAGAGGGGAGGAAAGGGAGGGTAATTAGCAGAACGAGAGGGGAGGAAAGGGAGGGTAATCAGCAGAACGATAGGGGAGGAAAGGGAGGGTAATTAGCAGAACGAGAGGGGAGGAAAAGGAGGGTAATGAGCAGAACGAGAGGGGAGGAAAGGGAGGGTAATTGGCATGAAGAGAGGGCGGGAAAGGGAGGGTAATTAGCAGAACGAGAGGGGAGGAAAGGAAGGGTAAATAGCAGAACGAGAGGGAAGGAAAGGGAGGGTAATGAGCAGAACGAGAGGGGAGGAAAGGGAGGGTAATGAGCAGAACGAGAGGGGAGGAAAGGGAGGGCAATTGGCATGAAGAGAGGGCGGGAAAGGGAGGGTAATTAGCAGAACGAGAGGGGAGGAAAGGGAGGGTAATCAGCAGAACGAGAGGGGAGGAAAGGGAGGGTAATGAGCAGAACGAGAGGGGAGGAAAGGGAGGGTAATGAGCAGAACGAGAGGGGAGGAAAGGGAGGGTAATGAGCAGAACGAGAGGGGAGGAAAGGGAGGGTAATGAGCAGAACGAGAGTGGAGGAAAGGGAGGGTAATTAGCAGAACGAGAGGGGAGGAAAGGGAGGGTAATGAGCAGAACGAGAGGGGAGGAAAGGGAGGGTAATGAGCAGAACGAGAGGGGAGGAAAGGGAGGGCAATTGGCATGAAGAGAGGGCGGGAAAGGGAGGGTAATTAGCAGAACAAGAGGGGAGGAAAGGGAGGGTAATTAGCAGAACGAGAGGGGAGGAAAGGGAGGGTAATTGGCATGAAGAGAGGGCGGGAAAGGGAGGGTAATTAGCAGAACGAGAGGGGAGGAAAGGGAGGGTAATGAGCAGAACGAGAGGGGAGGAAAGGGAGGGTAATGAGCAGAAGGAGAGGGGAGGAAATGGAGGGTAATGAGCAGAACGAGAGGGGAGGAAAGGGAGGGTAATGAGCAGAACGAGAGGGGAGGAAAGGGAGGGTAATGAGCAGAACGAGAGGGGAGGAAAGGGAGGGTAATGAGCAGAAGGAGAGGGGAGGAAAGGGAGGGTAATGAGCAGAACGAGAGGGGACGAAAGGGAGGGTAATGAGCAGAACGAGAGGGGAGGAAAGGGAGGGTAATGAGCAGAACGAGAGGGGAGGAAAGGGAGGGTAATGAGCAGAAGGAGAGGGGAGGAAAGGGAGGGTAATGAGCAGAACGAGAGGGGACGAAAGGGAGGGTAATGAGCAGAACGAGAGGGGAGGAAAGGGAGGGTAATGAGCAGAACGAGAGGGGAGGAAAGGGAGGGTAATGAGCAGAAGGAGAGGGGAGGAAATGGAGGGTAATGAGCAGAAGGAGAGGGGAGGAAAGGGAGGGTAATGAGCAGAACGAGAGGGGAGGAAAGGGAGGGTAATGAGCAGAACGAGAGGGGAGGAAAGGGAGGGTAATGAGCAGAAGGAGAGGGGAGGAAAGGGAGGGTAATGAGCAGAACGAGAGGGGACGAAAGGGAGGGTAATGAGCAGAACGAGAGGGGAGGAAAGGGAGGGTAATGAGCAGAACGAGAGGGGAGGAAAGGGAGGGTAATGAGCAGAACGAGAGGGGAGGAAATGGAGGGTAATGAGCAGAACGAGAGGGGAGGAAAGGGAGGGTAATGAGCAGGACGAGAGGGGAGGAAAGGGAGGGTAATGAGCAGAACGAGAGGGGAGGAAAGGGAGGGTAATGAGCAGAACGAGAGGGGAGGAAAGGGAGGGTAATGAGCAGAAGGAGAGGGGAGGAAAGGGAGGGTAATGAGCAGAACGAGAGGGGAGGAAAGGGAGGGTAATGAGCAGAAGGAGAGGGGAGGAAAGGGAGGGTAATGAGCAGAACGAGAGGGGAGGAAAGGGAGGGTAATGAGCAGAACGAGAGGGGAGGAAATGGAGGGTAATGAGCAGAAGGAGAGGGGAGGAAAGGGAGGGTAATGAGCAGAACGAGAGGGGAGGAAAGGGAGGGTAATGAGCAGAAGGAGAGGGGAGGAAAGGGAGGGTAATGAGCAGAACGAGAGGGGACGAAAGGGAGGGTAATGAGCAGAACGAGAGGGGAGGAAAGGGAGGGTAATTAGCAGAACGAGAGGGGAGGAAAGGGAGGGTAATCAGCAGAACGATAGGGGAGGAAAGGGAGGGTAATTAGCAGAACGAGAGGGGAGGAAAAGGAGGGTAATGAGCAGAACGAGAGGGGAGGAAAGGGAGGGTAATTGGCATGAAGAGAGGGCGGGAAAGGGAGGGTAATTAGCAGAACGAGAGGGGAGGAAAGGAAGGGTAAATAGCAGAACGAGAGGGAAGGAAAGGGAGGGTAATGAGCAGAACGAGAGGGGAGGAAAGGGAGGGTAATGAGCAGAACGAGAGGGGAGGAAAGGGAGGGCAATTGGCATGAAGAGAGGGCGGGAAAGGGAGGGTAATTAGCAGAACGAGAGGGGAGGAAAGGGAGGGTAATCAGCAGAACGAGAGGGGAGGAAAGGGAGGGTAATGAGCAGAACGAGAGGGGAGGAAAGGGAGGGTAATGAGCAGAACGAGAGGGGAGGAAAGGGAGGGTAATGAGCAGAACGAGAGGGGAGGAAAGGGAGGGTAATGAGCAGAACGAGAGTGGAGGAAAGGGAGGGTAATTAGCAGAACGAGAGGGGAGGAAAGGGAGGGTAATGAGCAGAACGAGAGGGGAGGAAAGGGAGGGTAATGAGCAGAACGAGAGGGGAGGAAAGGGAGGGCAATTGGCATGAAGAGAGGGCGGGAAAGGGAGGGTAATTAGCAGAACAAGAGGGGAGGAAAGGGAGGGTAATTAGCAGAACGAGAGGGGAGGAAAGGGAGGGTAATTGGCATGAAGAGAGGGCGGGAAAGGGAGGGTAATTAGCAGAACGAGAGGGGAGGAAAGGGAGGGTAATTAGCAGAACGAGAGGGGAGGAAAGGGAGGGTAATGAGCAGAACGAGAGGGGAGGAAAGGGAGGGTAATTAGCAGAACGAGAGTGGAGGAAAGGAAGGGTAAATAGCAGAACGAGAGGGAAGGAAAGGGAGGGTAATGAGCAGAACGAGAGGGGAGGAAAGGGAGGGCAATTGGCATGAAGAGAGGGCGGGAAAGGGAGGGTAATTAGCAGAACGAGAGGGGAGGAAAGGGAGGGTAATCAGCAGAACGAGAGGGGAGGAAAGGGAGGGTAATTAGCAGAACGAGATTGGAGGAAAGGGAGGGTAATGAGCAGAAGGAGAGGGGAGGAAAGGGAGGGTAATGAGCAGAACGAGAGGGGAGGAAAGGGAGGGTAATGAGCAGAACGAGAGGGGAGGAAAGGGAGGGTAATGAGCAGAACGAGAGGGGAGGAAAGGGAGGGTAATGATCAGAACGAGAGGGGAGGAAATGGAGGGTAATGAGCAGAACGAGAGGGGCGGAAAGGGAGGGTAATGAGCAGAACGAGAGGGGAGGAAAGGGAGGGTAATGAGCAGAACGAGAGGGGAGGAAAGGGAGGGTAATGAGCAGAACGAGAGGGGAGGAAAGGGAGGGTAATGAGCAGAAGGAGAGGGGAGGAAAGGGAGGGTAATGAGCAGAACGAGAGGGGACGAAAGGGAGGGTAATGAGCAGAACGAGAGGGGAGGAAAGGGAGGGTAATGATCAGAACGAGAGGGGAGGAAATGGAGGGTAATGAGCAGAACGAGAGGGGCGGAAAGGGAGGGTAATGAGCAGAACGAGAGGGGAGGAAAGGGAGGGTAATGAGCAGAACGAGAGGGGAGGAAAGGGAGGGTAATGAGCAGAACGAGAGGGGAGGAAAGGGAGGGTAATGAGCAGAACGAGAGGGGAGGAAAGGGAGGGGTAATGAGCAGAACGAGAGGGGAGGAAAGGGAGGGTAATGAGCAGAACGAGAGGGGAGGAAAGGGAGGGTAATGAGCAGAACGAGAGGGGAGGAAAGGGAGGGTAATGAGCCAGAACGAGAGGGGAGGAAAGGGAGGGTAATGAGCAGAACGAGAGGGGAGGAAAGGGAGGGTAATGAGCAGAAGGAGAGGGGAGGAAAGGGAGGGTAATGAGCAGAACGAGAGGGGAGGAAAGGGAGGGTAATGAGCAGAACGAGAGGGGAGGAAAGGGAGGGTAATGAGCAGAACGAGAGGGGAGGAAAGGGAGGGTAATGAGCAGAACGAGAGGGGAGGAAAGGGAGGGTAATGAGCAGAACGAGAGGGGAGGAAAGGGAGGGTAATGAGCAGAACGAGAGGGGAGGAAAGGGAGGGTAATGAGCAGAACGAGAGGGGAGGAAAGGGAGGGTAATGAGCAGAACGAGAGGGGAGGAAAGGGAGGGTAATGAGCAGAATGAGAGGGGAGGAAAGGGAGGGTAATGAGCAGAACGAGAGGGGAGGAAAGGGAGGGTAATGAGCAGAACGAGAGGGGACGAAAGGGAGGGTAATGAGCAGAACGAGAGGGGAGGAAAGGGAGGGTAATGAGCAGAACGAGAGGGGAGGAAAGGGAGGGTAATGAGCAGAAGGAGAGGGGAGGAAAGGGAGGGTAATGAGCAGAACGAGAGGGGAGGAAAGGGAGGGTAATGAGCAGAACGAGAGGGGAGGAAAGGGAGGGTAATGAGCAGAAGGAGAGGGGAGGAAAGGGAGGGTAATGAGCAGAACGAGAGGGGAGGAAAGGGAGGGTAATGAGCAGAACGAGAGGGGAGGAAAGGGAGGGTAATGAGCAGAACGAGAGGGGAGGAAAGGGAGGGTAATGAGCAGAAGGAGAGGGGAGGAAAGGGAGGGTAATGAGCAGAACGAGAGGGGAGGAAAGGGAGGGTAATGAGCAGAACGAGAGGGGAGGAAAGGGAGGGTAATGAGCAGAAGGAGAGGGGAGGAAAGGGAGGGTAATGAGCAGAACGAGAGGGGAGGAAAGGGAGGGTAATGAGCAGAAGGAGAGGGGAGGAAAGGGAGGGTAATGAGCAGAAGGAGAGGGGAGGAAAGGGAGGGTAATGAGCAGAAGGAGAGGGGAGGAAAGGGAGGGTAATGAGCAGAACGAGAGGGGAGGAAAGGGAGGGTAATGAGCAGAACGAGAGGGGAGGAAATGGAGGGTAATGAGCAGAACGAGAGGGGAGGAAAGGGAGGGTAATGAGCAGAACGAGAGGGGAGGAAAGGGAGGGTAATGAGCAGAACGAGAGGGGAGGAAAGGGAGGGTAATGAGCAGAACGAGAGGGGAGGAAAGGGAGGGTAATGAGCAGAACGAGAGGGGAGGAAAGGGAGGGTAATGAGCTGAAAGGGAGGGGACGTGAGGGAGGGCCAATGCAGGCCGTCGAAACGATAGGTACCGGGCTGTTACTATCTGCATAGAAACGGTCTAAATGGTAATTCGGGAGGTGGAGCGTGACTGCAGGGGTGTCGGGGGCCTGGGGGCTTGCAAGGCACCGGTTGCTGGAGGAGTCGTGTCTCCTTTCACCGTGCCAACCCACCCACCTCCATTGTACCAGCCGCTCCCAGGAAGAAGCTCTCTCCTTCCAACCCCCCACCCCCTGCCATCCCTCAGGTGCCCAATCCGGACCCGCCCGGCAAGTGCTCCACCCGCTGCAGGGGCTGCTGCTCGCCGTGCCAGCCCACGGCGGGTGGGGGGCAGGGGCGGGTGCAGCAGCTTCAGTACAAGCGCAGGCGAGTGGTCTGTAGCAGCACCAGCAGCAGTGGCAATGGCAGTGGCAGTGGCAGTGGCAGCAGCTGGAGCGGCAGGAGCGGCAGTGGGCAGTCGTCGAGCGCCTCGGGCAGTGAGAGGTGGGAGAGCCATGGCACGGGTGGTGGCGGGCATGAGGGCCAGCAGGAGCAGGTGCTGCAGGCGTGGGGCAGGATGTACGCGCGGAGGCGTGGGGGGTTGGCGTCCAGAGTGGTGGGTGGGGCAAGAAAGGCTGGAGGGGAGGAGAGCAAAAGGGGAGAAGGGTTTGTCTTGGCGCTCGGGTGTGATGGCGTGGGTGGGGCGAGGAATGGTGGTGGTGTGAGGGCGAAAGGGCAGGTGAGGGGACGTGCAGGTGCAGGTGCAGGTGTAGGTGCAGGTGCAGGGATGCAGGAGAGGAAAGCCAGGGGGAAGGGGAGGAAGACAAGGGGGAAGTGCAGCGCAAGAGGAAGTTCTGATGGTGGTGCAAGTGGTGGGGAGGAGGAGGAGGAGGAGGCCGATGAGGAGGAGGCGGATACGATGTCTGGTGATGTTGATGATGAGAAAGATGCTGGGGGGTTGGATGAGGAGGATGGGGGGGAAGAGGAGGACGAGGAGCAAGCTGGTGCTCGAGTGAAGAGGGCTCTCAAGCTCTACAGCCTGTTCAACAGGAGAGCTATCAAGGTGACCTGCCTCCCAGAGCAGCAAGCTTCGGATACGTGCCCAGGTCGAGTAGACAGTCCCTGCTGGCAGTCATGGCATCAGTTGAACATTCAGTTTCCACTTTTTGCAACTTGCACCTTGTGTGTCCTACCACTGGTCATAGGGTATTGTTTTATGACTGGAGAACTTGTACATGTGAGTAAATCATACTCAACCTGCACAGCGTTTGTGTTCCTTTCCATTGCGGGCACGCCACCTCCTTGGGCACGCCACCTCCACGGCAGACGGAGGAGGAGCGAGTGACCAAGGAGCGCAAGAGGCTGGGCTTGATTGGGCCGAATGGGGAGCGGGTGCCCAAGAGCAAGCTGAAGGGGAAAGCGAGGAATGCAAAGGCCCCTTCGAAGCGGCCGGACCTTGTTGCCATCAAAGTGGTGAGCGCTGCTGCTAGGTGCTGGTGTGCATGTAGGCGCACAGGGATGTGACCTTATGACAGCATCGAGGGCGAATGGATTTCTCTGAATGACACCCGGTGCACGCGTGAGCTTATGCAACCCACCGCTGCCATGTCCTTGCCTGAGCTTACGTCTTGGTGAGATGGCGTGACCGTATACACGGGCAGGCTCTAGGGCAGTGTTTTGTGGAGTGTTTACTGGCCGCCCAAGAATGGAGATGTTCAGCTGCCCCTGCTGTCACGCACGTCTCACTTCCTTTCTCTCTTCCTCGTTCACCCATGCTGCGTTGGCAGATGGGGGAGAAAGGTTTGATGCCCAAGACAAAAACTATTGGGGCCGTTCCAGGTGCGTGTAATCCACCACTGTTTTCGTCCTGCTCTATCCATGTCTTTGCAGAGCGGTGTGCACGCAGGTGGGTATGATATCTCGCCTTGCTTTCAACCACTTCCAGCACGAATCTATGGATTAGGGTACAGATTGCACAGGTAGTGAATGAAGAGGTAGTGAATGAAGAGGTAGTGAATGAAGAGGTAGTGAATGAAGAGGTAGTGAATGAAGAGGTAGTGAATGAAGAGGTAGTGAATGAAGAGGTAGTGAATGAAGAGGTAGTGAATGAAGAGGTAGTGAATGAAGAGGTAGTGAATGAAGAGGTAGTGAATGAAGAGGTAGTGAATGACGAGGTAGTGAATGAAGAGGTAGTGAATGAAGAGGTAGTGAATGAAGAGGTAGTGAATGAAGAGGTAGTGAATGAAGAGGTAGTGAATGAAGAGGTAGTGAATGAAGAGGTAGTGAATGAAGAGGTAGTGAATGGAGGTGGAATGAAGAGGTAGTGAATGAAGAGGTAGTGAATGAAGAGGTAGTGAATGAAGAGGTAGTGAATGAAGAGGTAGTGAATGAAGAGGTAGTGAATGAAGAGGTAGTGAATGAAGAGGTAGTGGAAATGAAGAGGTAGTGAATGAAGAGGTAGTGAATGAAGAGGTAGTGAATGAAGAGGTAGTGAATGAAGAGGTAGTGAATGAAGAGGTAGTGAATGAAGAGGTAGTGGAATGAAGAGGTAGTGAATGAAGAGGTAGTGAATGAAGAGGTAGTGAATGAAGAGGTAGTGAATGAAGAGGTAGTGAATGAAGAGGTAGTGAATGAAGAGGTAGTGAATGAAGAGGTAGTGAATGAAGAGGTAGTGAATGAAGAGGTAGTGAATGAAGAGGTAGTGAATGAAGAGGTAGTGAATGAAGAGGTAGTGAATGAAGAGGTAGTGAAGAGGTAGTGAATGAAGAGGTAGTGAATGAAGAGGTAGTGAATGAAGAGGTAGTGAATGAAGAGGTAGTGAATGAAGAGGTAGTGAATGAAGAGGTAGTGAATGAAGAGGTAGTGAATGAAGAGGTAGTGAATGAAGAGGTAGTGAAGAGGTAGTGAATGAAGAGGTAGTGAATGAAGAGGTAGTGAATGAAGAGGTAGTGAATGAAGAGGTAGTGAATGAAGAGGTAGTGAATGAAGAGGTAGTGAATGAAGAGGTAGTGAATGAAGACGTAGTGAATGAAGAGGTAGTGAATGAACTAGCAGCTCGGGTGCCAACGTACCAAATGTGCGCATGTAATTGTAGAGTATGGCACAAAGCCTAGCGTGGAAAGCCCTGAAGCACGCAGCTTCAAAGGGACTACGTGGGTCAATGCCCAATACGTCTTGAATTGCACTGTGAGAAGTCTAAAAAGAGGGCCCTGGTAAAGTTTCCCGTAAGATTGACACAATCACCAACCTGGCTGACGTTGATGATCACGCTGCTCCACCTGCTCTTGAATGGGCCAGTGTGTGCGCCCGATGTGCTTAAAACAGCTTCGCGGAAGCACTGGGTCCTTGGTCACACGTATCGTGCTTGTGCTGGCACCTCAGGGACAGTGACATTGGTGCGGGGCACTAAGCTCAGCCAGAGGAAACCACAACCAAAGAGGCTCTTGAGGCTCCATGGTGCAGGCACGAGCATGGGGCCGAGCCGCAGCTCGTCTCCGCCAGCTTGGCTCGGGTAAAGGGCGAGCCGAGCTCCTTTTTTCCGCGGGTCGGTTGGTCCCGAGTAGAGGCAAGCGGGCAGGGCGGCGACGGATGGACCTCAGAGGACCTGATGAGCGAACCGGCCCTCAGAGGACCTGATGAGCGAACCGGCCCTCAGAGGACCTGATGAGCAAACCGGCCCTCAGAGGACCTGATGAGCAAACCGGCCCTCAGAGGACCTGATGAGCGAACCGGCCCTCAGAGGACCTGATGAGCGAAACGCCCGCTGGTGTGCTTCTGGCGGCGCTGGGGAAAATACCAAATCTGCTTAGATTGCCCACAGGAGCAGACCTGCCGAGCTAGGTCCGGCTTGGGAGACGGCTTGGCTTGTCCTAGTTTTGACGAGCCGTGAATGGGCAGACGCCGCTCGGCTCATGGCTAGTGGCTTGCTTTAGAGGCGAATGGTTGAGCATTACGAAGGCGATGACACCCTCGCATCCACAGGAGCATTCAGGGATGGGTCAACCGGGCCAGCGAGGGCAAATTCTACGCTCACATACTATACTAGACATGGGACGAGCCGAGCCGCTCCAGCCGGTGGCTCGGCTTGGCTCAACACGCCGACGCCCGACGAGCTCATTTTGAGCCGGCTCGTTTCCAGCTTGTTGTAGAGCCACGCGACTAGCATCTAGGACGAAGTTGGAAAACCAGATCTGGCGTTTTCCACATCTGGTTTTCTGCAACCCCCATCAGAGGGGTCAAATTCGAATTTCGTAGCTTCAGATTTCTCTCTGCCCGAGAGTTGACATAGTCAGTGTGACACTGTCGAGTCAAGCCGGGCCCCGGCTTGACACGGTTTGGGCGAGCCGAGCCAGGCAAAATACGTGACCAGCTTGAGATGGCTCGCCTCGCCTCGCCTCGACTGGGGCCCGGCTCGACCCCAACTCGAGCCTGAGCCAGCTCGGCTCGGCGCTATGCCCATGTGTATCACCCACATGTATGATGAAGGGCCTTTGCGATGGGGATGGCAAAGAAATGGCATGACTGGACGGTGTCCACGCATTGATTGCACTGTGATAATCTAGAGATGAGGAGGTGTATGCGCGGAATATGAAGTCAGCAGGTGGCGCATAGTGGCACCTTGATGCATGTTGGAGCATGAATTCCCATGCCTTGTGGTGTTTCTTTGACAGGAGTACATGTGGGCGATCGTTTTTTCGCGCGAGCAGAGATGGTGGTGGTGGGCATGCACACGCACTGGCTCAAAGGCATCGACTGCGTCCTGCAGAGGGTACATGCTGCTCCCATAGTCTAACCTTGTCCGCACGTTTGCATGTGTTGAATTCAAGGTTGCGAAGATTGTTTTATTCTTGGAACCTGGTTTGAGAATTCTCAGAAGAGCAGCAGCAGCACTTGTGAAGAATTGATGCGAAAATAGATTTTCAGGGGGTGGGGGCTGACACCCTCGCTTGAGATCCTTTGCGATCCGGGACTCGGCCTTTCAGGCACTAGCTGTGTTACTTTCCAGTGTTCCTGTGGACTTGATGCAAACACTGTGTGAAGATCATTGAGCGGATGGGTAGGGAAGTTGCCCTGTGATGTGCGTTTTGCACGATGTACACATTGCTTGCAGGTTGCACGTGTTGCGTGAAGCGCGTATTGCATGATGCGTGAAACCAACTCATCAGACGAAGGCGGAACGAGGTAACATGCAAGTCGCCGTACAGGTTAACGCAGGCTGAAGCTTGCGGGGAGGGGGGGGGGGAGGGCGACGAGAGGAGGCAAGTGAGGAGGGCGGGGAGGGGGAGGGTAGGATGAGTTGATGTTGGAGTACAAGCTCACATAATGCTGCTGTCGCTAAAAAAAACAAAAAAAAACAAAAAAAAAAACCAAAAAAAAAAAACCAAAAAAATGCTGCTGTCGCGTCGCTCCCTGCACTTGTCATTCGCCCCATGGTCCATCAGGAGAGTCCCTATGGCAAGTCAATTGCGGTGGCGGTGGTGGTGTCGGGGATCTACGAGGACGACAAGGACAATGCAAACCGCATCTGGTACACGGGGGAGGGGGGCAACAACCTGCTGGGTTCCCGGAAACAAGTGGCACATCAAGCTTTAGTGGCTGGGAACCTGGCTCTCATGGTACGTCTTGAAGGACATGTATTGTCGACCTCCGTGGAAGTCATTTTCTTCCCAGTCATCTTTTATGGGATTGATAAACCTGTGACATGTTGGGAGAATGAGACTCAGAAGCACGTGGTTGGTTGGTACGAGTCCAAAATGTCCTGGCAGTAGTTTTGTCCATGGTTCTGTACTGGTGAGATGGTGTGTCCATCCATACCATATATGTGAACAGCTCCAGCCTCTTCAGTTTGTGGGCAAGGGCAGCTGCACTCAACAGCCACGCAGTGCACCTGCATGGCACATGCCGGCCGGGCTCAAGCCTCAACCTACATACGTCACAACTTATGGCACGCCATATGGGCCATCAAGGGTGACGATTGGACAGACAACTGTCTATGAGTGCAACAGTGAGTTGGTGAGGTGTGGCAAAAAGCACTTTGAGCATGACCTTCAGAGGTGTTGTCCAGCTATGAGGGACGTTCGAAATGTCCTACCTACCGAGGAATACCAGTGATTGACATACACGATTGATACCCGTTCAACATGGGCAACAGCGGCAACGAGATGAAGTGGATAGATAAACTCGAATGGAAGGAAAACGATTACGAAACGCTGTCACAGAGCCATGTGGGAGTTGGAGCCTCAGATGAGAACATCTGCTCCCCTCTCTGCTACATCATTGACCTGTTTCCTCCTCCCTCGTGCTCCTCCGCTTGCCTTACACCCTTGCCGCTCTTGCACTGGTGCAGAACAGCATCGAAGTGAAGAACGACGTGCGCGTCATTCGAGGCCACAACTGCAAGGAGTCCGACACCAAACGGGCGTTCACGTACGATGGCCTTTACAAGGTGCGCTTGATCGCTACTTCGACTTACTGTTCATGTCGGTGCATTTTAACCAGACTTCGTAGGAAAGTGGTATACTTTTGCCACCTCAACCAATGCGTAGAAACGCCTTCATCTTTCTTGACAGACGAAGAAGCAATTATGTTTTTCAGCCGTTACTCTGCATTACACCGACGGGGAGAGGAACTGCTCTGTGCACCCCAAATTTGTAGGTGAAGGAGCACACATACCTGCCGGGGAAGGAAGGCTTCCTTGTCTACAAGTTCCTCCTTGTTCGCAACGCTGGCCAACCGCCTCTCACGTCGGAGCAGGTATTCACGACACACCGTCTCTTTGCTATTCGCTCACTCCCTAGTCACACCCTAGCACCCTAGCTTCCTGTACATCACCCTAGCTTCCTGTACATCACCCTAGCTTCCTGTACATCACCCTAGCTTCCTGTGCATCAACCTAGCTTCCTGTACATCACCGTAGCTTCCTGTGCATCATCCTAGCTTCCTGTACATCACCCTAGCTTCCTGTACATCACCCTAGCTTTCTGTGCATCACCCTAGCTTCCTGTTCATCACCCTAGCTTCCTGTGCATCACCCTAGCTTCCTGTACATCACCGTAGCTTCCTGTGCATCATCCTAGCTTCCTGTACATCACCCTAGCTTCCTGTACATCACCCTAGCTTTCTGTGCATCACCCTAGCTTCCTGTTCATCACCCTAGCTTCCTGTGCATCACCCTAGCTTCCTGTGCATCACCCTAGCTTCCTGTACATCCCCCTAGCTTCCTGTACATCACCCTAGCTTCCTGTACCTCACCCTAGCTTCCTGTACATCACCCTAGCTTGCTGTACATCACCCTAGCTTCCTGTGCATCACCCTAGCTTCTTGTGCATCACCCTTGCTTCCTGTACATCACCCTAGCTTCCTGTGCATCACCCTAGCTTCCTGTACATCACCCTAGCTTCCTGTGCATCACCCTAGCTTCCTGTGCATCGCCCTAGCTTCCTGTGCATCACTCTAGTTTCCTGTGCATCACCCTAGCTTCCTGTACATCACCCTAGCTTCCTGTACATCACCCTACCTTCCTGTACATCACACTAGCTTCCTGTACATCACCCTAGCTTCCTGTACATCACCCTAGCTTCCTGTACATCACCCTAGCTTCTTGTGCATCACCGTAGCTTCCTGTCCAGTCCATCACCCTAGCTTCCTGTACATCACCCTAGCTTCCTGTACATCACCCTAGCTTCCTGTACATCACCGTAGCTTCCTGTGCATCACCCTAGCTTCCTGTACATCCCCCTTGCTTCCTGAACATCACCCTAGCTTCCTGTACATCACCCTAGCTTCCTGTACATCACCCTAGCTTCCTGTCCATCACCCTAGCTTCCTGTGCATCACCCTAGCTTCCTGTGCATCACCCTAGCTTCGTGTACATCACCCTAGCTTCCTGTACATCACGCTAGCTTCCTGTACATCACCCTAGCTTCCTGTACATCACCCTAGCTTCCTGTGCATCACCCTAGCTTCTTGTGCATCACCCTAGCTTCCTGTACTTCACCCTAGCTTCCTGTGCATCACCCTAGCTTCCTGTACATCACCCTAGCTTCCTGTGCATCACCCTAGCTTCGTGTGCATCGCCCTAGCTTCCTGTGCATTACCCTAGCTTCCTGTGCATCACCCTAGCTTCCTGTACATCACCCTAGCTTCCTGTACATCACCCTAGCTTCCTGTACATCACCCTAGCTTCCTGTACATCACCCTAGCTTCCTGTACATCACCCTAGCTTCCTGTACATCACCCTAGCTTCTTGTGCATCACCGTAGCTTCCTGTCCATCACCCTAGCTTCCTGTACATCACCCTAGCTTCCTGTACATCACCGTAGCTTCCTGTGCATCACCCTAGCTTCCTGTACATCACCCTAGCTTCCTGTACATCACCCTAGCTTCCTGTACATCACCCTAGCTTCCTGTACATCACCCTAGCTTCCTGTACATCACCCTAGCTTCTTGTGCATCACCGTAGCTTCCTGTCCATCACCCTAGCTTCCTGTACATCACCCTAGCTTCCTGTACATCACCGTAGCTTCCTGTACATCACCCTAGCTTCTTGTGCATCACCCTAGCTTCCTGTACATCACCCTAGCTTCCTGTACATCACCCTAGCTTCCTGTACATCACCCTAGCTTCCTGTACATCACCCTAGCTTCCTGTACATCACCCTAGCTTCCTGTACATCACCCTAGCTTCTTGTGCATCACCGTAGCTTCCTGTCCAGTCCATCACCCTAGCTTCCTGTACATCACCCTAGCTTCCTGTACATCACCCTAGCTTCCTGTACATCACCCTAGCTTCCTGTACATCACCGTAGCTTCCTGTGCATCACCCTAGCTTCCTGTACATCCCCCTTGCTTCCTGAACATCACCCTAGCTTCCTGTACATCACCCTAGCTTCCTGTACATCACCCTAGCTTCCTGTACATCACCCTAGCTTCCTGTACATCACCCTAGCTTCCTGTCCATCACCCTAGCTTCCTGTGCATCACCCTAGCTTTCTGTGCATCACCCTAGCTTCGTGTACATCACCCTAGCTTCCTGTACATCACGCTAGCTTCCTGTACATCACCCTAGCTTCCTGTACATCACCCTAGCTTCCTGTGCATCACCCTAGCTTCTTGTGCATCACCCTAGCTTCCTGTACTTCACCCTAGCTTCCTGTGCATCACCCTAGCTTCCTGTACATCACCCTAGCTTCCTGTGCATCACCCTAGCTTCGTGTGCATCGCCCTAGCTTCCTGTGCATTACCCTAGCTTCCTGTGCATCACCCTAGCTTCCTGTACATCACCCTAGCTTCCTGTACATCACCCTAGCTTCCTGTACATCACCCTAGCTTCCTGTACATCACCCTAGCTTCCTGTACATCACCCTAGCTTCCTGTACATCACCCTAGCTTCTTGTGCATCACCGTAGCTTCCTGTCCATCACCCTAGCTTCCTGTACATCACCCTAGCTTCCTGTACATCACCGTAGCTTCCTGTGCATCACCCTAGCTTCCTGTACATCACCCTAGCTTCCTGTACATCACCCTAGCTTCCTGTACATCACCCTAGCTTCCTGTACATCACCCTAGCTTCCTGTACATCACCCTAGCTTTCTGTGCATCACCCTAGCTTCTTGAGCATCACCCTAGTTTCCTGTACATCACCCTAGCTTCCTGTGCATCACCCTACCTTCCTGTCCATCACCCTAGCTTCCTGTGCATCACCCTAGTTTCCTGTACATCACCCTAGCTTCCTGTGCATCACCCTAGCTTCCTGTCCATCACCCTAGCTTCCTGTGCATCACCCAAGCTTCCTGTGCATCACCCTAGCTTCCTGTGCATCACCCTAGCTTTCTGTGCATCACCCTAGCTTCCTGTCCATCACCCTAGCTTCTTGTGCATCACCCTAGCTTCCTGTACTTCACCCTAGCTTCCTGTGCATCACCCTAGCTTCCTGTGCATCACCCTAGCTTCGTGTGCATCGCCCTAGCTTCCTGTGCATTACCCTAGCTTCCTGTGCATCACCCTAGCTTCCTGTACATCACCCTAGCTTCCTGTACATCACCCTAGCTTCCTGTACATCACCCTAGCTTCCTGTACATCACCCTAGCTTCCTGTACATCACCCTAGCTTCCTGTACATCACCCTAGCTTCTTGTGCATCACCCTAGCTTCCTGTACATCACCCTAGCTTCCTGTACATCACCCTAGCTTCCTGGACATCACCCTAGCTTCTTGTGCATCACCGTAGCTTCCTGTCCATCACCCTAGCTTCCTGTACATCACCCTAGCTTCCTGCACATCACCGTAGCTTCCTACGTTGGAAAAAACGCTCGAACAGCCAAGCGTTTGGCGTTCGAACGCTAGCGTTCCAACGCAAACGCCCAAACGCTAGGCAAACGCGCAAACGCAAGAGCGGGCTGCCCGCAAAAAAAATTCCGAAATTTTGAATTTTCGAAACCAGTTTGCGACGCGCTGGGAAAAACGGAATGACTCGCCACCTCGCAATCTCAAGATGTCTTCCCAACTCCCAACCCCCGAAAAACACCCAACCGCACTAGACCACAAATTATCTAGTCAACCCAACCACGTCTCTACAAACCCTCTCTTCAACAGAGAGGCATCGTAGACTCCAACCATTGTGCTAAACCCAGATCGGGATCTCACTCCTCACGTCATTTCCCGAGATCTCAGCGTGTTTCGTTTTTTCCAGCTCCTTATTTCTTTTATGCTAAGCTATGGCTGACGCTGGCGAAACTCCTATTTCAATGGCGACCAACGCTAATGTTGCCTCAGGTGAGGCCTCAAGTTCTCCCCAATTTGAGGAAGATAGCACGCACATAGTTTACCAGCACTTCAGAGTGCCCTTAGTTTCTAGCTCCCGCGGTAAGCAGTACGTCTGCAAGGTTTGCACCCACAAGTTTAGCGGATCCGTGGGGCGTTTGGCTCAGCATCTCACGAATTGGACGGGGGGGCGCCGCCGTGAGGTGAAACTCTGCACTGCGGTAACAAAGAAGGTGGCTGAAGAGGTCCGCACTCACTACGAAGCTAGGCTTCAGGAGGCCGAAGACATCCGCTCCGCCGAGGTAGCCGCCATTGAAGCGGTTAGCGGCCATAAGCGCAACCGCATAACCGACTTCTTTGGCGACGAGAAGGCGGATGCGAAGAAGGCTGCGGACGAGGCAATCTGCCTCATGTTCGCGGGCCTTCGCCTCCCGGAGCACCTCGCGGACCACCCTCTCTGGCGCAACGCCGTGGAGTGCATCGGCCTCGCAGGAAGTGGCTATGTCCCCCCTAAGCGCAAGAACGTCGGCGGCGCTGGCTTGCAACAATGCCGCGTGCGGATTGAGATGGCGCTGGGACCGGTTGTGGCCAGCTGGGTGCATGGAGTGACGATAGCCTCAGACATGATGACCGACAGATGCGGTCGTCCGCAGGCCAACGTCTTGATGATCAACGACAGCGGCGCCGTCTTGATGGAAAGCGTGGATTGCAAGATGGAAAAAAAAACAGGCGGGTACATCGCTAGTATCCTAAGGCCGATAGTGGAGAAAGTCGGAGCGGAGAACATAGTTGCTCTCTGCATGGATGGGGGCAGCAACGACGCCGCCGCCTACAAGGAGATCTTCAATGAGTGGCCCCACATCGAGCATGTGCCGTGTGCCACGCACGTGCTCGACCTCCTCATGGAGGATGTGGATAAGATGGCTTGGGCCAAGGGGGTGGTCGAGCGGGGCGGCGAAATCATCGCTTACATTCGGAAGCATCACTGGACGCG